CTTTTTGGGCCCCCAAAAAAAAAAACTTTTTTTTTTTATTTGGGTTTTTTTTTTTTTTTTTTTTTTTTTAATCCCATTCCTTTTTCTTCAAAGGATCAATTATTTACTGAAAATAATCTCATCACATGGACACTATCTCGTATTAGAATTGACTTTCTTTACAGCCTTTGAAACTGATATAACTTGAAGACAGACCGTTTTTTACATTTTAAATCAAAGTCAAATCAATCCAAGAATCACAGCAGAGTGCATCAGCAGTAGGCCTGTTTCTGAGACATCTCTATTGTATAAAGCTTCTTCACATCCCAGCTGTAATGGCCTTTATTTTTTTTATTTTTGATAAGCTGAAGGAACAACATCTGCAGATTGTTACGGCATTCTGAAAAGTAATCAAACTCTAAATGTTATCTTCTAAACTACAATTGATTCATGTGGACTAACGGAAAATGATCAGTGACTTTTGGTCAAAAATAACTGCTGTTTAAAACAAAAGGAATTTAATTCTGCTTTTATTAATTTTCAATAGCTCAAAAATATATATTTTTTCTGATATTTTCATTGTTGAATAAGCATGACTATTAGAAGTTCTTAATGTCAAACATGTTGCTGACAGGTGTTTTAATGCAGCAGTGAATTAAGGGAACCACATACTTCCAATGCAAAGCTTTACTCCAACAACAGCTATGTGATTATAAATGACTTATTTGATTTTCAGTTGTCCAGCTAACAAGCACGTGATTTATGTGCCAGAACAGAGAAATTCAATTTGACTTTAGAGCAATATGTGAGATATTGTGACAAAGGAGGACATGCACAGGATGTGAAAATTCATGATTTGATTTCTGAAGAAATTAAGAACATTTTTAAACTATGTGGTTTGAGGCTGCTTGCCTCTGTTTTCAATTACTGCAAAGTAATTTTGTTTCCTGCACTAAATTAAGATAAAACATCTATCAGCATGTTAGTACGGTTCTTAAAAATCAAAAAGGAGAGTTGTCAACGAGATAGCCTATTGATCTTTGCAGTAATATATTTTTTTAGCAATATTATTATTATTGTTATTATGGTATTACAATAATAGCAACCGCTGTAAATTCCATCTAACAAATTAGCTACTAATCCAAAATATTGGTAAATCATGCAATGGTGACAGTCTATGAAATATTAAGTTGAAGTGTTTATTTGCAATGCACCTTTGATTAATCAGCCGAGTGAACTGCTTGCATTTAGTCAAGTTTGGAAACGTGCTCAGAGTTAATTTATGTAAATACTGTACTTTTGCACAGTTTGGAGTGTTACTCCAAACTTTAACATCAGTTTTTGAGGTTTGCTAATATCATGTAATTCTTCTTTATTAACACCTGACCAATCACTTTTTTTTTCTTGTCCATCCCATTATCTCTAGTGACCTTTTAACACTTAAGACTTGTTTTATTTAGCATGTCCAAGAAACTAATTGATTCACGGACCTTATCTTAGTAAATACCACCATAGAATTCATTTGCAGTCCTCACTATGACATTTCTACAGGATTCGTCTCTAAATTGGCTCAAAGTAGGACTACTTCATTCAAAGATATGCTGTATCTGTACCTCTTCACCAACATTTTTCTAAGTATTATACAGTCTGTGTAAAGCATGAGCACACAAAACTCGAGATCAGCTCATTCATCTGCTTAGGCCTGTAAGCTGATGCTGCTCCTAATGAGCGAGGCTGGCTGTGCATGCTTCCTCTTCATCATCAGCACCAGTCTCCTCACAGCACAGCCACAGCTCTATATCCACAAACGTTGGCTCATTTGAATATGCGTAGATTGATGTTTAACCTGCATCTTGTAATACCTGTGAGCTACTACATTAGTTTGGTTGTGAGAATCCCACCAATTTTAATGAAAAAAATATATATATATATATTTTAGCATTATTTTTTTTACTGATAGGAAAAGATAATTTTGCTGTCAATAGAACAACAGAAATGGGAGGATGTATTTAAAAGAATCAAACTCACGGGTGAAAGGACCTGAAGTTGAGGGGTTAACACTGTCGCTGCTATCCCCACTCTCACTGCAGGAGACCTCATCATCAGACTCCCGCACAGAGGAGCATGGGGAGGAGGAGGCTTCCACCTCCTCAAATTTTCTCTTCAGTATTCCGCTCATGGCCTGCCGCATCTGCACCTGAACGCGAGACACAGCAAAAGGGGGCTGCATGTTATTTAATACCCGGTTTAGGACCTTCATAATCCTCAACTCACTCAATTAGCTACCAACCCAGACTGCCCCCACCCCCAGCTCCTACCTTCACCCATCCACGCATGCACGCGTGCATGCATGCACACACACACACACACATCCAGTCTTGCTTGCTGATATCCCAGCTTCCCGGGGTCATTGATCACCTTGGCACGAAGGAGCAGAGGGGAAATAGTAAAGCTGCTAATTACAAACTACATCTTCCCCACAGGAAGTTAATTCTCCTTTTTGATTGAGAGGTTCAGGGTAAAAAAGAGAGAGACTGGATCTATTCACCTTCCACTGGTGACCATCAGAATTAAGTTTAAAACACAATGCTAGGTTCAAATCTTAGAAATACTGCATAATATGAGTATATTGTTTATGTTTCATATGAACTGAAAAGACATTTAATAAGTACATGGATACATGTCATTCTCAGTGTCAATTCTGAATTGATTGGTAGATGTGTGCTCGTGTTTGTTTCCCATACAGTGTGAAACAAAATCTTCAAAAAAACAATCCAATTAAATGTGACTAATGTATTTATGTGATTTTTAAAAAAATCTATGACTAAAGTAGCACAAATAGCATCAATTTGAGTAAATACATCTGCAATGTATGTTGTTGCATCCCTTATATAAAATGATTATATAAGGGTTTCTTAACTGTTTGGTAAAAATTTCCATCTGCAGTTGCTGGTGAAATCAACATTTTACTTCTACACTGTCATGTTGCGCACTTTTGTTTTCAACTTGTATGTAAATGCAATGAATCCAAGGTCCCTTGGTGTTTTTACCCACGCTTATGACACCAGGCGAAGCTTATTACTGTCCATGTGCATACCCCGTTATAGGAAAATTACAGCAGCCGGAGTGCCAGCACTATTTTCATACCATATTTGCCATGCGCACACTCTGGAAAAAAAAAACAAAAATCTGCTTTTCTCAATTCAAATGTTTGTCATTGGCACGTCATGCAAAGGATTTTGTAGCAGACTACGTCAATGTCAACCAAGAGTCCATTAGCTCCCCTGACTGATGATGCAATTAGACAAATAAACAAGAATAGGCTCATCAGTCAAATACACTAAAACTAATTACTGTCACATTTAATCTGCCTCTAATACTACTGCGTGGCAGACATCAAACAGTGCACCATTTTCAATTTTGTTTTGTTTTTTTTTTCCTTCCAAAGCATTCAGACAGAAAGCTCAATCCTTACACAGCTTGCATAATATATGCAACTGTATGAATGTAGTCATTAAATATAATAAATATTTAGGCTTTGTTTTCACTGTTTTAACAGTAATAATTGCATTTTTAAATCACAGAACTGTGCTGCAGAGGTACAGCGAGCCTCGCAATGACTGGCAGCTTCTCCCTGGTTGCTTTCTCTCTCGCCCTCTCTCTCAGAACCTGGAATCAGTAGAGACGGCGTGCATCTTCAGCCAGTCTCCGCTCTGTCTATCTGCCAGAGCAGCTTGTGGGGGAGTTCCATTCACAGACAGCCTCGCTGTTTCATCTGGGCTCTGCTATCAAGTCATTACAGATGCAAATTCGGTCGGTAAGACATGCTGCCTGAGAGAGAATAAGAGAGAGAGGGGTGCAACCAGGAGAGGGAGGACTGGCTCTGCCAGCCAGAGGGTCATTGTTCCCTGGAGGCTGCTGTGGCATGGCACGGCCAGCATTTGGAGAATCTCCAGAGTCAACGGCTTTACCTACAACCAAGGAATGTGAGGCAAGACAGTCAGTCAGGGTAACCTCACTGGGTAAATCTCTCTTCATGAAGAATTTATAATAATTTGGATATGAAACAGACAGCGTTATCCTGAACTAGATGCGGTTTATTCTCAGCCCATGGATACAGCTGAAAAGAAAATGAACCTCTTGCTTCTGAATGAGAAACACAGGAGAGATTAATGACAGATTAAATAGCTCATTACATAATTCTCAAAAAAAAAAAAAAAATCTGACTTATAAAAGCTTTTGATCTCACATGGGAAAAAAATGAATTGCTTTCACTAGCCACTTCACACCTTGGCAAGCACTAGTGGAAATTTCCAACAGAGATGACCTGTGCAAATTCTAGCCCATTTTGTACTCGGGGGTCTTAATTAGATACCATTGTTGGAAGCGTGTTTTTGTGCTTAGCCCTCAGCTAATGCTGTGCTCAGGCTTTGATATCAAAAGTGGTTTCCATGGAGATTCTAATGTACTCTCACAAATAGTGCCTGCCCATATGGCCCCTGCTTCCTGTGCTACATACCCTGTGTGAGGGACTCTTAGCAATAAAGAGCAGCCCATACGTCCGACCCCTCCTGGTTTCATCTGCATTCTATTGTGCCAGTATGAAAACTTCAGTGCGGATGACATCATAAACCACAGAGCTGTGGGTGGTCCAAGGTGAACCTCTTCAATCATGGCTAAATAAAAACCAGAGATTGTTGCGCTTCTCCAACAGCCCTTTCTTTGTCTCCACCGCATTTCCACTGATCATAGCTGGGCAAGCACACACTCTTCTCAATCCCAAACAAATTAATGGAGCAAAAAAAAAATAAATAAAAACATGCTTGGAAAAGCCCCTCCCTGTGTTTGCCTCTATTTGATCACACACTCAGTCGGACATAAACTCTCATCCTTAATCAACAGTGCTCCCAGTTCTCCAGCACACTTTCATCACAAATGTATTTTGTTTCTCTTCATCATTCACAAAGTTGACAGAGAAAGGCTCACAACACCCATCCAGAGTGACGCCAACAAGCCTAAGGGATCTGGAGCAAGTCATGACACATCAATCCTACTGTGACCACTTCTATGTGTGTGCCTAGGTGTGTGTGTGTGTGTGTGTGTGTGTGTGTGTGAGCCCTCACAGGAACAACTGACCTGTATCCACTGGCCGAGTGTGACTCCTCTCACCTCTTCTCACAGCGCTACAACCACCCAGTCACAAATGTGGCCACTCAGAGAAGGTGAAACATGATGAATGGAGAGATTCTCATTTTGTCTCAGCCCACTGACTTGCAGCGACCCCTGAGCTTCACGGGCATGAGCGAGGGAGAAAAAGGGAGAGCAGAGAGTGCAGGAGGTTGAGGGAGACGAGTAATTTTCCAGCTCTGCCTGCGTTGTCGGTAACATATGCTTTATTGTTGCGAGACGACACTCTTTCTCACTTCAACTGCCTCTTCTGTCACTGTGTTGCACTCTCCCTTCGCTTTCTATCTTTGGCCGCACAAAGGCTCATTAGCTGCAGCCGGGCTGAAAGGCAGGAGCCTGACTGGAGCAGAGAGTGGAGCAGGGAGCAGAGGCAGCCTGTGAGATCACATGGGTGGGATGTCTGAGAGACAGAGAAAGAGAGAGAGAGAGAGAAAGAGAGAGAGAGAGAGAGAGAGAGAGAGAGAGGCAGAGTCAGGCATGCTTCTGCCACTGCTGTCTGCAGATATTTTTACCGACACGGGGAGGGAGGAGGACCAGGAGGAGAGCAAGGAAGGAGAGTTATTGGTGTGTGGGGTGGAGGGAGCAAAATGTTAAAGAAACTGATGAGGGGAGGTGTTTGTGAAAATGGGGCAAGGAGTTTAAATGGGAAATGCACAGATGAGGGGATTTAGTTGGGAATAGTAAAGGTAAGGAGAGAGTAATAGGAAGTGTGGTTGGATAGATGAAAAGAAAAACAAAAAACATCTGATGCCAAAAACATCTTTGAGAAAAGAAGAGAGGGTGGGGTCTCCAAAAAACAAGAACCCTTCCAGTCTCTTTTGATCCCAGCCTAAATCAAATCCGCCAACAAAACACATACTGGTCCAAATGCAAACAGCCTTCTACAAAAAAAATGTTTTCTGTACAAACACCGTCTAGCTGGAAGAGATTGACAAGCAAATGTCAGCGTAAACCACTTCATCCACAGGAAATAGGATTTGTCTGCACCAGAGTGCATGTGCTCCTGATGCTTCCTATGCCAGGAAGTTCTCCTGAAGAGTTAGTGGGGCCCCCAGTTGCTGCAGTCAAAGAGCCACAATTCCTTTCTTGCACTCAGATGGATCGTATGTCAACATAAAAGGTCCAGCACTTCCTCTTTCAGGATAGAATTAAGCTTAGACATTTTTCCCCCCTCTTATAGAGAATCCTGAATTACAGTCATCACAGACACATGGCAATTCCAAGCCACAATTACACCACACCTTAAAGCGCAAGATGCCAAAGACCCAGCCTGGCCATTGGCTGCCTAGTCAGTTCAACTTGATTCTCATCTCCTGCACTCTGTCAGGGATTACTCACATTAAGCTGGATTTCTCCGGTTGAATTTCAGCAGGGCCAATTGGCAAACAGGAGGTGTCGAGAATGATTCTGTCGATTTCTGCGCTGTTTTAGTGTTGTAGTCTGTCTGTAGTTTGGCAATAGTAACAGAGGAAGTGAATAAAGCCAAATATTTAGCAATTAATGTCAAAGCAATAAGAATGTATGAGATAAAAGATTGAATTGCCCTAGTCCTCGTAGGGTTGTTTACAGAGTTTGCAATTTTCAATAAGCTTCATCAAGGTGGCGGATTACACATGTCATGGCCAAACGTTAGCGATTAAGTAAAATGAGATCCATTTATTTAAAACTTCAACACAGTCCATGTTTCCAGCAGGCAATTATTTCTTAATAGCCTAAGATCCAGACCCTCTGTACAAAGCAAAGCATAGATCAAGGGACTGGTTTTTACTAGGCCAGCAAATATCAGTTTTTCTTCAGTATTTACTACATATGCCAGAAAGAAGGTTATATAAAAAAATAAATATTTAATCCTATCAAAAGTTCTAAATAGTACTTACATTGTGTCTCATTAAAACAGCTTAACTATACAGTTTCTATTTTCTCATGCTCTACATCGTCTCTATTAACCTCGCTAAGTCTCAACTTTACTTTAATGCATTTTTGCCCGATCAATACATCACTTCTGTCTTGTAATGCTTTCAGTTACATCAGCTTGTGGTGTCATATTAGAAATAGCATGTTTTGCTTCCAGAGGGCACTACAGATGTCTCAGATTTGACCTTTAATCTCTTTTGACTGTTTTTCTCCAGCTATTTTCGAAATGTCCTTGCTAGAAGGTACAGTCATGCCAGTTTGATGACAAAGAGTGAATTACCACATGGTTTATGATATGCCTTATAGGAACTGTCCAAATTTGGTCATTTGAAAGTCCAAGAAGCTTGAAGTTCCTACAAGATATTTTTTGTTGGCACATTTGGACATGTGCTCCATGTCGTCCAGTAACATTCTTTGAGTACGTGTCACATTCTGTTGTTCTGATGGAAACCAAATGCCGGCAGGAGGAATTCAAAATCGTAGACTAAACTTCCAAAAATATCATATGACAGGGACAAACAACACAGGGGCATGGAGAGCAATCACAGAAACCAAGATGAAGACAATCATAATGGGGAGGTTAAACAAAAGGATGAACAATATTTGGAACAAAGAGAAGGTGAATCTCATTGATAAAATGTGTTGTAGCTGTGATAGGAGCACGAGTCAAAGAGCTTAGGGGAAATGACTGACAAAAAAAAAAAAAGTGAGAATGCAGTAAAGAAAAACAGAACTCAGACAGAACCAAATTGAAAGTCCAAAGGAGCGTGTGAATATCTTTTTTTTTTCTTTATTTTGCCTACTTAGTTCCGAAAGCAATTAAATGTGAGAATCTAGACATCCACAGCCTCAACCAGAAGGGAGGCGCGTTGTTGTAGCAGAAGTGCAACTTAGTTCTGTGAAAGGAAACGCCTCATCTGACCCCGCTGGACACTTTTTTTTTTTTCTAGTTTATTGTGCCAATTCTGATGCTGAACACTGATGCATCAAAGCTATTCCTAAAGTTTGGGCAACTCCCTTTAACTTTAACCTCTCTGAGTAGAAATTAGACTCAGTGTCTGGTTGAAAAATCCCTTTGTTTAGACTTCTGAGATAGATTCTGAAGTGTTATTATTAGCCAGTTTAAAAACAATTTCAGCCTTCTATTCCTGGCTGTAAACCTTCCCCTAGTGGTAGATTTTACAGTAAAATTCATACAATAATAACTGATTTTGGGTTTAATTCTTTGTTTTTGTTTAAAAATACATATTAAAAAAATATTCTTGATTCCGACAACAGTGAACTCTTGCTTCTCTTTTTCTTATAATACGTAGTTTAATATTTAGTTAAAATATTGATGTATCATCTTTGGATGACTTGTAAAAAATCCTCTCCTCCTGAGAATTACACCAAAATCCCCCTTGTTTCTTCTCTATGCGATAAATGTCACTCAAGTGCATTGACATTTTTTAACATAATTGAATTACATTACATCTGATTGACACCACTTTTCTAAACATTTTAATCAAAGCATCAATTATATATATATATATATATATATATATATATATATATATATATATATATATATATATAAACAAACTTTAAATCGGCCCATTTGCAGGTCTGGTTAGCTGTTTATATCTGACATTTCACATTACAGTGGTCTTTTTTTAAAATATGTGGTTTCCACGCAGGAAGCGAGCGGAGGAGTACAGACTGTACACTGATGGAGCTTGCTGAGCTCTTTAAAGCTCACAGCTGGCTGTTACTGCCGAATCAGAATGACCACAGAAGCATTTCAACAACAACACAGCAGTAAAGAGGATGCACCGACTCTACAAACACACACACACACACACACACACACACACACACACACACACACACACACACACACACCTACACACACACACACACCTTAAGCTCCACAGAGACACAAAGCCATAAAGATTTTGACAAAGCTGACATAAACATAGCAATAATTTTTTTATTCTGAAAACAATAAAAACACTATACTATAAATTACATGGGCACTAAATGGCACGGGCTACTCAGGCTAATGGAAAGCTGCTGTCCTTATCAGCATCACGCTTTCTTAAATTATCATTTTACAGTTATTGCGTGTGCCTCTCTCTCCTCTTTTAAAAAAAAAAATCAATGCCACTGACTTAGTCATGCTAATACACAGGAACATGAGCCAAAGTGATTCATTCCTACTGGATTTCTGTTGTCTAGTAACAGGGAAGACTGTGTAACTTAAAGTACATTTTACTTTGAAATGATTGGATCAGTTTTAAATTGAATTAAATGCATTCTTTTTTGATAATTGTATAATTAGCTAGGACTGACATAAATGTGTACCAGGTAGTTTATAATAGCCATTTCAACGCTGTATACAAACTTAAATTTTTGTATTGATCTGCAGTTCATTATTCTCTCGCAACACACAAAAAACAGAAAACAAGACGTAAAATAATTTCTAAATCCTACTGCTGCAAAGCAGTGAAATGTTATAGCAAGAGATGTAATTAGCATCCAAATAGCAAAAGGGTATTAAAAGTTTGGATATCAAAAATTTTCAGCATGAGACACCACAATAAAAGAAGTTTGTCCCGAGGTATTTAGCACATCTTCATCATACCAATAAATTTGTTCTGAATGTAAAATATGTTTTGTTTGTTACTGTCATCATTTACTCCAAAATCTTTAATGGCAAGTTTTCCAGTAATCCGTCTTATCTATATTTCCTCAAACATATGCTGCCCTGTTACATAAAAATGTAAAACATGAGCTGGAGCGATGGCATTTGTTACACCATTGCACCAGTGACGGTGACCTATATTTGCTCTCACTTCGAGAGGCTCCATCAACTGACAGAAGAAAATTGAAGACAGCAGGCAAAAAAACCAAACAAACAAAGGCTTAGAGAGTATCTAATTATATACGTAGAGCCATACTGCAATTGAGGTAATTTGTAAAGTGTGGCAAACAGACAGTAAAATGTAGAATATAAGACATCATAACAAAATTATTTAATGGAGCAAAAAAGGGGCAGGAGTGTTGCCCTAGTCATTCAGACATCATCAGCATTATGAGGTCTGGGTGTGCAGTGAATAAAAATATGACGTTTAAAACCTAGTTTTACAGCACAGAAGAGAAAGGGAGTAAAACAAGGCTGACTCATTGCATCTGCCTTGTTTATCACCTTCATTATTGTTCTTCTCTAACACATTAATGCCACATTATGTTCAAATACCATAAACTCCAGATGGCAGATTATTTAATATACTGTATTGCAGTCATGATAAAAGAAAAACACAGAGATAATATTTATGTATCATGATAAAATAAACCTAACCTGATACTTGAATAGTATAAAAAATTAAGTTAATGAAACAAATTCACACCAATGTTCTCATGACAGATAAGAGGTTTCAAACTGCATTCATTCCAATTTAAACCTAATTACAATTGGAGGCAACTTTAGGCTTTTTAGAATGATGC